CAGCAATGATCTGCCATTGTTGCATATCCCAAAATCTTTCAAAAATGGAGTTATTTTCATTCATTTCATACAAGGAGATCTACTCACTTTTCTTCTTATGTGATTATACAGTTGGTTCCAAGCTAAGGTCCCTGAGGATCGCATTTTCAGTTGCAATTGATTGAGTCAATTGATCTGACATTTATGTATGAGCTATTCCTCAACAGCCCTTCAAATGTGCACCTGCAAAACTGTTCTCTCCCCTGCACCAAAGATAGAGTTTAAGCGGCCAGTTGAGTTGGTTACTGCATGCACTGAAAGAACCCAAAGGATCGTCTTTAGTTTTCAAAAAGGTATCGTTTCTCGTCAGAGCTTTTCATGCAACTTCACATCATGCTGCACAGAGATATAGTTTAGAAACACTGCAGATGAATAGTTCCTGCATAATGTCGATGACCCACAATCTCAGGACTTAGTCCCTTCCTAACCACGTGTTGTGCATGTTTAGTCTATTCCTTAAGAGCTATGGGAGACTTCTCCTGCTCTGTCCTTAGGCAGTCTGTTTCTATGTGGCTTGGCTGCACTGTGAGAGACTTGTCTCTACTCTAGGAACCTGAGACCTGTAATCAGCGTGTGCTTGGTTGCTTTAGACAGCTGCATAGAGACGCAGAGACAGAGGAAGAAAGAGACAGGGAGAAAGAAAGAGAGACAGAGGGGCTTTTTCTTTTCTCCTCAAACAGGACTTTCCGGTTTCCTCTTAACTGCTTTCTTTCTTGCATTTATCACCGGTCTTTCTCTGTGAGTCCATAAAGAACATGTTGTCAGTAGGTTTGTAACAAGAATCCTCTTTCAGAAGCCTGGTATGCATGTTCATTAGGAAACTTTGTTGAAACAGTTGAGAGTCCCTTCTGAAGAGAAATGACACCATACACCAGTAAAAGGCTGCTGTAATACAGAGGACCTGTTCATGGAGGTATTGGGATGCTTTTGAGCGTGTGTGTGTGTTGGTGATCTCGCCATCACGGTTGACAACTCCGTTGTGTCCTCCTCCCAGAGTGCGAAGAGCCTTGGCGTGACCCTGGACAACACCCTGTCGTTCTCCGCTAACATCAAGGCGGTGACCCGATCCTGTAGGTTCATGCTCTACAACATTCGGAGAGTACGACCCTGCCTTACACAGGAAGCGGCACAGGTCCTAATCCAGGCACTTGTCATCTCCCGTCTGGATTACTGCAACTCGCTGTTGGCTGGGCTCCCTGCCTGTGCCATTAAACCCCTACAACTCATCCAGAACGCCGCAGCCCATCTGGTGTTCAACCTTCCCAAGTTCTCTCACGTCACCCCGCTCCTCCGCACACTCCACTGGCTTCCAGTTGAAGCTCGCATCTGCTACAAGACCATGGTGCTTGCCTACGGAGCTGTGAGGGGAACGGCACCTCCGTACCTTCAGGCTCTGATCAGTCCCTACACCCAAACGAGGGCATTGCGTTCATCCACCTCTGGCCTGCTGGCCCCCCTACCTCTGCGGAAACACAGTTCCCGCTCAGCCCAGTCAAAACTGTTTGCTGCTCTGGCACTCCAATGGTGGAACAAGCTCCCTTACGACGCCAGGACAGCGGAGTCACTCACCACCTTCCGGAGACACTTGAAACCCCACCTCTTTAAGGAATATCTGGGATAGGATAAAGTAATCCTTCTACCCCCCCCTTACCCCACCCCCCAAAAAATAAAAATATATATATTGTAAAGTGGTTATCCCACTGGCTATAAGGTGAATGCACCAATTTGTAAGTTGCTCTGGATAAGAGCATCTGCTAAATGACGTAAATGTAAATGTAAATGTTGGTGCTTGTGTGTGTGTGCGTGCGTGTGTTCATGCACGTGTGCACTTGTTTGTACATGTGTGTATGTGTATCTGTGTACTTCTCTGTCTGTGCACGAGTGATCTCTATCTCTCTCTAGTAACCATTGGATTAGCTCCAGAGCAGTGACGTGCGGTAAGGTCTGATGCCGGGTACGCACTTTCTATCCCCATCTCTCACGCACACGCACACGCACTCATAAAGCAGATTTTTGCTACGGTGTTTATCGGTATGACAGGATCACAAACATAACCATCAAACAACCACAACCAACCATCAAACAGCATCAGGTAGGCGGCGCAACCATTAGACACACATTCACAGGCCCTAATAGCTTGTGCCCTACGCAAATGCCCTGCACGAACAGGCGACTTACAGCACCACAGACAGCGACCCAAATGCCAGCGAGTAGGCCTACTTGTAGACAGCAATACACATACAAAATGCCAAGTAGTCAGTGCTACTGATTGAGATATATACTAACACAATAGACATGTAATGCAATAATGGTAGACGGCACTACTGTAAATAAACACTAGCACTTACAATTAAACGTAAACAAAGTCCATCCGTCTTTCCTACTGGGTAAAGACATCAGTGACTGAACTGTAGAACTCCTCCCTGTTGGCCCTCAGTTTTAAAAGTCTCTCTGTCTCGATGGAGATGATGGCAAGGGATGAGAGTCGTCCTTGATCTGTCCGGTTTAGACTGTATGTCTTTATCTGTTTCAGTGCAGAAAATGACCTCTGAACGGATGCTGTTGTGGCTGGTATAGTGAGGACCAGCTACAGTAACTTTGTCGCCTCGGGACAGTCTGTGTCAGGTCATGCTGGAACAAAAAGCTGAGGAGCTGTCCAGGTGATTTGTCTCATACTATTTGTGAACTGTACAAGATCAGCCGTAGCCCTTTCCTGCAGTCCTCATGGGTTGAATGTTATTCATATTTTTCATAATTTCATAATTAATAAACATTCTTTCAAAAAACCTGCCGAAAATCCAATGTTTCTATGTCAAACAGTTTTGTTATATTTCAGTCTTTTGTGATATATATAAAGTGTAATATTGGGATGCAAACTCAAAATGTAATACATTTCAGCTCTTTATCTGACATGGTACAGGTGTCTTCTTTTTTTTAAAGCCCATAACCATGTGTGTGAGGTGTATACTTTTGTTTCATAGTACCTGTAATATTTTGACAGGCTCTCGTTTGCTGGTGTCTAACTTTTGTTACTTTGTTTAGAATTTTTTTGCAGTCCACTAAGCCAAGGAAATTAATTTCACCAAAGTGGTCAAACCTGGCTCTTATCTGAACATTGATATTGTCCAGTATGTTGTAGTAGATTCGCCCCCTCTCACTTTCTGCCAGGCCCAGTTCATTGCATTTCTGCTCGAATCGCTCATAGAAACTAATATGTCGCTGCCGTTCCAGTGCTTTCATTGTGTCGCTGATACGGGTACAGCAGAAAACCATATTCATATTCATATGATAGGTAAGATATTACAAACCTTGCAGAGAGCCTATCGTGTAGTGGGTAGGAACAATCCAACTGACAATCTCTTAGAAAAAATGTAAACTACTGGAACAAAGACTTAAAAAGAACTGATATTGGCACAAGATGGAGGGAATGTTGGAACATAACTAGTGAAATTACAGTTAACTAAAATATACGCTTAAGCCAGTATACACTAATGTATCAAATGTATTACACAATTCTACAGCACACTGGCAGAGTCATGTCTTAAGTGTAAAACTAACAATGACTCAATAATCCATGCCTTCTGGGAATACTATAAAGTCTAAGAGTTAGAAAGTTGGCTGTCAGAAGTATTACATTTTACTCATTTAGCAGACCAGAGGAACTTACAGTTAGTGAGTGCATATATTTTCATACTGGCCCCCCGTGGGAAACAAACCCACAACCCTGGCATTGCAAGCACCATGCTCTACCAACTGAGCTACAGGGGACCAGTAGTTTATTCCGTTTGTCTGCTTTTTTCAAGTAATGGCATATGAGGGTGCAGTGAGATACCGGATGGGTTGGATGATACTTTTCTCGTCAATCATCTTGAACAAATGTATACTTAAAAACGGGAAATTAACCAATCCTCCATTGTTAACACAATGGAAAGGTCAAACACTTTATTATTTAAATGTTGAAAGTGCGTGGGCGATGGAGAGAAACAAAATGGTGCCGTTTGAGGCCATGTGGCGGAGAGTGATGCAGGCGCTGGAGAAGGGGGTGTGAGCAGGTGGGTCTGGGCAGGTGTGATGTAGTGGATGTTTGTGTGCTTTCTGTATGTTGTCATTTGTGTGTGTATGTTTTGTGTCTGAAAAAAATAATATTCGTAAGCAAAATTTAACCGTAAAAAAAAAAAAAACATGAGCAAAAAAAAGACGGTGGTGGTCGTTAAATGGGTTGCTAACTGTTCATTATTTCAGCAAAGGCATATGTAATAGTTCCACATAGTTGCCCCTGTGCCTGTTTGATGAGCTGGCACGCTCTTCGTTGCCACGAAATGCCAACTCCTGTTAACCTACATAGGTAGCATGATGTAGCATTAATTAGCTAGGTCTTTCAAAATCTCACGGTTCTCTTTTACCTTTGCATTGTGCATGCTGATGTTCGATCTCCGTTGTTCATTCAATGACAGATCTATCTTAAGAGCTATCTGGCTTTGGATGTGAGGCACAGATTTCTCATGCTTTTTGAGTGCTATAGGTAAGTTGTTCAAGTCTCAGTAACCAGCTCTGGTCCACAGGCTGTCGCTGGTGGAGAACAGCAGGCAGGGGAAGCAGTAAAGTTGTCTGCCACAGAGCCAGTCTTTTTGTTGATACCACTCAGATTGAAGTGATTGTGTTATTTTCTGTCCCTTCCTTTGATGTAGGTCCCTAAACTCAGGTGTTGGTCTTCCATCCCTTATCACCCCCTGTTTCGCTAGAAAATCCAACTTTGGAAACTTGCAATATTTCAGCCATCCTGATCAGCTTACTTTAGCTAGCAGTAAAACGAACGTAACCGCCAAAAGGCTGCAGATTACGTATGACGTCCACAGGCAGGAGCTAGCTCTGCTTAGCCTCCTGCTTATCCCATTACTTTTTTCACACCAATAAACATGTATTATTCGAGTGCAATGAAAATTAAGGGGACATATTGACACATGAAAGGCAGCAAAGCTGGCAGCATAAGGTAGAAACACGCATGCGCAAGTTTGGAGTTTGAAGGGTGGGGAAAGGCACACAATGAGGCTGCCTTTTCCCTGGCATCCTTGCACATTTTGTACCAGATCACCACAGATTTTCATTCATTTTCGCATTGATGGCACTGCTTACCCTGACCGCACTTCACTACTCCAGGTCTTCCCACTGGGCACAGACGTCTATTCAATGTCTATTCCACATTGGTTAAAACGTAATTTCATTGAAATGATGTGGAAACAACGTTTATTCAACCAGTGTGTGCCCAACGGGTAATGAGAGAGGTACCATTTGTTTTCCCCCTCAGAATGTCCCCTGAAACCACAGCCTGACCTTCACCTTCACCACCAGGTTCCCTTAGAAATGCATCCCAAATGGTACCATATTCCCTTTATGGTGCACTACTTTTGCCCTATGGGCCCTGCTCAACAGTAGTGCACTGCATAGGGAATAGGGTGCCATTTTTGACACAACCTAGATCTTCCATGGTAAAGTCCCTCAGCCCAATCTATAGGATTGGGTCACAGACAGACTTACTGTAAGCTGCTCTGGACAGGAGCTTGTCTGAGCTAAGGATCGGGAAGAGCCATCATCATCATCATGGCCCATTGATGTCAGCTGACTGACTGTCAGGGTACTTTGAACCCCAAGGGGCTTAAATCTATGGGTGACGGATTGGACTGGTTTGCCAATTATGCTTGTGATGGGCTCACATGAGTGGCTCTCTATCTCTCTATCTCTCTGCTCCATAGTGTTGGAGTCGGGGTCTACTGTATCTGTCAGGTTGGAGCGAGGTGTATGTGGCCGAAGGGGTGGGAGGTGGGGTTTAGGCATCAATGTGGTGGGTGAGTCGGAGGTGGGGGTGGGGTTGGGGTCGGCCACGTCGTGCTACGTGAAGCCCGTCTAGAGAAATCTTCATCAATCACCTCGCTTCAGCCTCTTCTGCTCTAGTAATGTCTGATTCCATTACTGGGTAAAGCCCTGACCAGTCTCTGTAGATGTTCCGCTGTAGATGTTCTACTGTAGAGCCCTACTGTAAAGCCCCACTGACCAGCTCAGAGTGCCACTGCAGCCTGATCGGTTGATTGGATGAGCCTGGGTGTAAGTGGATATGCGTTATCAACACTATACTGTGGAGAAGGGCTGTTCCTGCTATATTCCATGTGGCTTAATTAAAACTGTTTATAAGTGTGATACTTAAGAGACATGGTTGGCCAGGAGTGCTGGTGTTTTCTAGTGGTTCTGTATGCTGCGATTCTGTATGCTCATTTACACTGAATTGTGTGTGAATCCTTGTCAAACTGGCCCGTGTTGTGAAAAGAGACATATATAAAGGGAAACTGTTTCAGTTCAAATAATCTTAGCACCTACTTGGCATATGAATGCTGTTCAGAATAAATAGAATGAATTAGGTGACAAAAATGTAGTTTATGTGTGTTTGAGAAGCACACACACTGTTAGAGTGTTAAAGTGTGAAATTAGTCTGGCCCAGGAACAGTTTTGTTTGTCAACTCCAACTGTTACGATTAGTGAACAAGTGCGTATGGGCAACCTAAACTATCACAACTCCCTAAGGCTGCAACATTAGCTGTAGCACTGTGTAGCAAACTGGGCCTATGGACGGAAGCTGTCTCTTTTGGGTAGTGCAATTTTGTCTAAAACTACTGTACCGCTCCGCTTTCCGCTGCATGCCTAGCTCCCAACCCAACAAACATGTAGGCTGACTTGGCAGCCACACCGGGGGAGTACAGGATTCCAATGTCATGCTGGAAAATGTAACAGGACCCACACAGCTGGTCTAGCAGGGAGATGCGCTCCAAACGTCCATCTCCCAATGTTTGTCCTTGTGGTAGTATTTAGTTCAGAAACAGACAGAATTCACACAGCGATCGAGGTGGAACCCTGTTCTGTCCTCAGTCCCCTGTCAGTTTGTTTTCATGCACATGCTGTTCCTGCTCTAATACGAAGGGGAGAAAAGCTCATTGTTGTGTGTCTGTTATTGTTCTACCCCTGTCAGCTGTGCTGTAAGGCAATGAACAAGCAATAAAAAATGAGGTGAGCTTGCTTTAAATGTGTGACCAGTGACCATCATTCACACGCTCCACAGTATAAAGAGGGACCTTGACCGAATCCTGCCCTTCATGCAATGACATCAAACTATGTCCTCTCCTTCGCTTTGCACAACTTACCCCATCAATATCAGCCAAATGCTAACCTTTACCATAAAGCTTTTTTATTAATGTTACATATGCTACTCCTTCCTCATCAATCAGATGGCTGATGAAGTTTGGCTGGGAGCTGCTAGCCAGGTGTCCTGCCAACCCAATCCACACGGGAACGGACCGATAACCCTGGTACATAGATATGAGGACATTGTCTGCCCTGACCCTCCTATGCCACACTGTTTCCAGGCCTGATCAGCTTGGCACAGTGGGGACAGCAGCTGGTTATGGGAAGGGAGGGACACACTCCTGCACGTCTCTCAGTTGGGCAGGGGAGGAGGTATGTGCACTTGTCTTGTCTGCCTCTCTCTTACAGCTGTGTATCTGGGAGAGTGGATACAGTCAGTAAAGACAGAGGAAGTAGTAAACAGTGAATGTTGTAAACAGATCAAATAAACCTACTTCCTTCTTTACAGTAGGTGACTGGTGTGGATGATGATGTTGATATTTGGCCTTCTGGGGCTATTGCACTGCCCTTTCTAGAGAATATAGTAGATAGTGACTGACTGTGCTGTACAGATAGAATTCCTTCCTCTTCAGCCAGTCCTCTAGCTGTCCAGTGGATAAAACAGCTGGGATAGATTGGTTTTCCCACTCTGAAATGTACAGTACATTTTGGACGGAGTGGTTTTTTAACCCTGCTCGGTGTCGGATCCTGCTGACTGATTTGGAAGTAAGCTTGGCATGGCAGCAGCCAAGAGTTTGGAACAGAGCTGAGGTTTAGCTTAAGGACATTGTTGTTAAGTGTTGCTTGGAGCAACAGGGAGAGAGGGTGAAAGAAAGGCTGCCACTGGTTCAACTCTAAACATGTCTGGCATACCGGGACAGTTAAGAGGTGTCACTTGACTGTGTGTGTGTGTGTGTGTGTGTGCGTGCGTGCGTGCGTGCATGTGTAGGTCAAGGGTACAGAGCAGCTGTGGTGTTACCCCATGTACCCTCAGTGTCACTAACTACGCCACATCTGCACAGGCGTAAACGCATCATAAGTAGGACCTGTTTGCCCATGACCTCTCTCTCCCTCTTTCTCACTGTACTGTAGAACACAGGATGTCTACTACTGCCTCCCTTTGACACACACCCCATATAGCAGAGCACTGCGTTTATGTTAATGTTCAATAAACTGTCCTGTCCTTGACATGGGTTAGATAAACAACCCATAAGTGGTATGTTTGAACCTTTAGATGTCACACCACATGGATGACCCCATCATAAACTTACTCAATTCCAGCTAAAAAAAATCCCCCAGCCAGTGCAGTGTCCATCACCGTACCCAGTACCCTGCACTTTGACCAGTCTCCTTAGAGATGACAGGGTGCTAAGCGGCCGGCGTATCACTGGGCTCAGATAAGGACCACTCTGCTGTTTGTTCATTGGGCACGGCTCGACTCCAAGACCTATAAAGAAAACACTGCAAACCCATGGGCTGCGTCCGAAATGGCACCCTATTCCTTACAAAGTGCACTACTTTTGAGCAGAGCCCTATGCAGGCTCTGGACAAAAGTAGGACACTATATAGGAAATAGGGTGCCATTTGGGACGTAGACATATAGCTGGCCAAAGCTCTGCTTGTCTATCAGCCAGCCCTATCTCCCCATATATCCCTCAGTGGAGTGGGTTGGTGAGGCCAGCCCTATCTCCCCATATATCCCTCAGTGGAGTGGGTTGGTGAGGCCAGCCCTGTCGCCGCATATATCCCTCAGTGGATTGGGTTGGTGAGGCCAGCCCTGTCGCCGCATATATCCCTCAGTGGATTGGGTTGGTGAGGCCAGCCCTGTCGCCCCATATATCCCTCAGTGGAGTGGGTTGGTGAGGCCAGCCCTGTCGCCGCATATATCCCTCAGTGGATTGGGTTGGTGAGGCCAGCCCTGTCGCCCCATATATCCCTCAGTGGATTGGGTTGGTGAGGCCAGCCCTGTCGCCCCATATATCCCTCAGTGGATTGGGTTGGTGAGGCCAGCCCTGTCGCCCCATATATCCCTCAGTGGATTGGGTTGGTGAGGCCAGCCCTGTCGCCGCATATATCCCTCAGTGGATTGGGTTGGTGAGGCCAGCCCTGTCGCCCCATATATCCCTCAGTGGAGTGGGTTGGTGAGGCCAGCCCTGTCGCCGCATATATCCCTCAGTGGATTGGGTTGGTGAGGCCAGCCCTGTCGCCCCATATATCCCTCAGTGGATTGGGTTGGTGAGGCCAGCCCTGTCGCCCCATATATCCCTCAGTGGATTGGGTTGGTGAGGCCAGCCCTGTCGCCCCATATATCCCTCAGTGGATTGGGTTGGTGAGGCCAGCCCTGTCGCCGCATATATCCCTCAGTGGATTGGGTTGGTGAGGCCAGCCCTGTCGCCCCATATATCCCTCAGTGGATTGGGTTGGTGAGGCCAGCCCTGTCGCCCCATATATCCCTCAATCTAACAGGCCTGTGTTGCTCACACCACAAGACTAAGGGGTTAAACATTAATGCTAGCTCTGCTCAACTGCTCACACACACACATATGCGTACACACACACACAAACCCAGTCACACATAGTCACACACACACACACTAATCGACAGGGCATGTAGTCAAAGACGAGGGTCGGGAAGGGAGACTTTGAGTGTTGGGATCAGGAAAGGTAGGGGTTGTGTACTTTGTGATTGGTTTATACTGGTATGAGATTACTGTTATGCTTTACTTTCAGAATATGCTTTGTATTGCATTTGAGACTTATTTTGTATTCAATGAGAATTAGACCAGCATGATTTGATAAGCGATTGTCTACCATTTAATTCTGCTGAAGCAAATACTTTTAGTATAGTTTTCTGAGGCAGCAATATGTTACTGTGTGTTCAGTTGCGTTCTACCTGCAGCAAACACGCCTGTACACACCTCTGTCTTGATCTGCTGCCAGCGTTGGTATCACGTTCTTAACTATCAGACTGCTGTTTAATTTCCTCCTTCAGGGAACCTAAAACTGTCTTAGTCCTACATCAGTATTGGCTCAGACCTGTATTTCAGTACATGGATCCATTCTGGTCACCTGTCTTAGAGTGTAGCTCAGTAGCTGTGTACCTATGTGTAGCTGTGTGTCTCTTTCTGTGGGTGTCTATAGATAGTGTGTATACCGTCCTGTTCCAGGGTTCAATATCCCAGCAGCACTTCACGCTGAGATAACCGCAATAATACAACTGAACCACAAAAGCTCAGCTTGCCTCTACTATGGTTTGAAGGCAACAATGACTTCACACAGCTCAGGCTAGAAGACCTCTGCTACATACACCCCCATCCCATGGGAGAGAGAGCCTGTCTGCAGTCTGCATGCCTGTGTCATGTTTAGAACATGTCCCAATAACAGCTCTCCCCCATTATGTGATCTGCTTTACAGGCTCTCAGGACAGGGCTTTCTCAGGGGCTCTGCAGAGGAGAGTTGGGCATTCTGCCTGCTCAGTGATACCAGAGCAGGGGTATTAGACCAACCAGACTGCATGTGGGCTTACACTTTCTCTGTTCTCTGTTCTTTGTTTGTTTGTTTATTAGCATTTTACTAATACACCTTTCTGAGACTCATTTAAACATCATATTGGAGAGCAAATGGAACCAGAAAACTGATAATAGATTGCAGTGGTAGTAGATTGTTGTCTCCTCCCAATTTTGAACCTGATCTGTGTGCCGGAATTGTCATGACATTGTCAATGCGATCCCAGCGGCTGATGGGAGGCGTTCCTTTGTCAGTCCCCCGGGGATAGAGCTGAACCCTCCCCTCCCCCTCCTTCCTAACCCTAATATATATATATATATATATATATATATATATATATATATAGACACACACAGTATTGTTTAACTATCCTTGTGGGAACACACAATTTATAACCATTCAAAATCCTATTTTCCCTAACCATAAACCTAACTCTAACCCTAATCTTTACTAATGACTTGCCACTCGCCTTGAGTAAAGCTAGTGTGTCTATGTATGCGGATGACTCAACACTATACACGTCAGCTACTACAGTGAGTGAAATCACTGCAACAATTAACAAAGAGCTGCAGTTTCAGAATGGGTGGCAAGGAATAAGTTAGTCCTAAATATTTCAAAACTAAAAGCATTGTATTTGGGAAAAATCATTCACTAAACCCTAAACCTCAATTAAATCTTGTAATAAATAATGTGGAAATTGAGCAAGTTGAAGTGACTAAACTGCTTGGAGTAACCCTGGATTGTAAACTGTCATGGTCAAAACATGTTGATACAACAGTAGCTAAGATGGGGAGAAGTCTGTCCATAATAAAGCGCTACTCTGCCTTTTTAACAACACTATCAACAAGGCAGGTCCTACAGGCTCATGTTTTGTCGCACATGGACTACTGTTCAGTCGTGTGCTCAGGTTTCACAAAGAGGGACCTCTGAAAATTACAATTAGCTCAGAACAGGGCAGAACGGTTGGCCCTTAAATGTACACGGAGAACTAACATGAATAATATGCATGTAAATCTCTCATGGCTCAAAGTGGAGGAGAGATTAACTTCATCACTACTTGTTTTTGTAAGAAGTGTTGACATGCTGAATGCACGAAGTGTCTGTTTAAACTACTAGCACACAGCTCGGACACCCATGCATACCCCACAAGACATGCCACCAGAGGTCTCTTCACAATCCCCAAGTCAAGAACAAACTATGGGAGGCGCACAGTACTACATAGACCCACGGCTACATGGAACTCTATTCCACATCAGGTAACTGATGCAAGCAGTAGAATCAGATTTACAAAACCAGATAAAAATACACCTTATGGAACCTTAACTCCTAATGCTAAACCTAATTCTAACCCTAACACTAAATGTGCCTTAACCCTAAACCCCCTAGAAATAGTATTTGACCTTGTTGGGACTAACAAAATGTCCCCAGTTGGTCAAATATATGTTTGTTTACTATTCTTGTGGGGACTTCTGTTCCCGACAAGTATAGTTAAACACGTCCACACACACACACTCACGCAGATATGACCTTGCCTGTCCTCGGTGCACTGTGTGCAGTGCCTTCCTCAGCAGGCTTGGTTGAGCGAGCACAAGAGGGGCTTGAGCTCTGTTACTGTAGGAACCACCTCCCTCCTCTCCCTCTCTCTCTCCCTCCTCTCCCTGTCTCTCTCTGTCTCCCTATGTTATCTGTTTTTCTGTTACTCTCACTCTCTCTCTTTGCCTCTCAATGCCTGGCTGACTCTTTCTCTGTCTTAATCTGACTCTCTCTCTCTAATTCAGTCCATCTGACCAGCCCACCCTCTCATCTGTCCGCCTAGGTTAAAGTAGTACATGGCTGATATGGGGAGCGTGTACAGATGTACGATCTTAATTTGAGCCAGTTTGCTACAGCAGCAAAATAATCCTGTAGCAACAAGAAATGTGAATTATTATGTGGATTATAATTCATGGACATTTTTTGTAGGGGTTGATACATTTTTCGTTAGGGCAAATCAAGTCTGACATTTTAAAGTGGACATTTTCAAACTTTAGAAGCCTTTCTAGTATGAAAATCTATGCACTCACTAACTGTAAGTCGCTCTGGATAAGAGCGTCTGCTAAATGACTAAAATGTGAAATGTAAACCTCGAATACACTACAAGTTTGCATTTCCTGCTGTGCAGGAAAATTCTCAGCAACAAAAGAGTGATCAAATTAAGATCCTACATCTGTATATAGTGACTGATCATGTGTTTGTTTACCCCTTTTTCTCTGTTGAGGATGACATACAGTGAATGCCAAACCAGCCCCTCGCCCCTCGCCCCTAGCAACTCGCTCGGAGGGCCCTCCGTTGTCACGTGTTGCTGACAAAACTCTGAGGGTGACTTCAAGAGTGGCGAGGGGATCAAATAAAACCATCAACTCATAACTTGAATGATGCAATTCATGTTCCACATTTAAATAATAAAACAAGCATGAAATTCAAATGAGGAAATTCCACCTGTCGTTTGACAAGATATAATCCTCAGTAACAGTTAATAATTTCATCTGGGACGTATTTCATGTGTGAAGCCTCAAAATCAGACACAAACCAATACAAGAATTCGGCACGCCTATTTGTTCTTTTCTGTGAAAACTCCAAAATTACGCGGTTCATTATGGGATACCACTTTGCTCTGAAGCCTGCAGCGTAGCTTGCTCGGTCGAAGTGGCTAGCTATCGGAAGGTCTAATTAGCCCCTACACCCTCCATAATTTTCACTCCCTCAGCTTTGGCTGAGGCGCGCATGAACACACAAATGGAGGGGCGAGGGGAAAGGGAAGGGGGTGATTTGGGATTCAGCCATGACTAGGGCATAGTGGAGTAGGGCAGTACAGTACAGCATAGCTGCTGCTGGTGGGGTCATGCGGTCAGTGATGGTATCAGTAGTCATGTAAGTAGCCTAAACATGCAGGCTCAGGGTCTATGTCCCTGTGTGACAGGTCTCTGTTTACTCAATGGGTGTTTCTCAATATGCATACTACCATGCTCCACACTGTCACGCTCCGAGTGCATTGTCCGACGACGTTCTCTTGAGTACGTTCTTGTGAGGACGAGAGTGTGGAGAATGCATAAAACATTAAATTTGAGAAGCACTCGCACTCCGCCTACTGTATTACCTCACGCTTTACCTCCCCATTCACTGAACCTTCATCCAGCCAGGACAATGGCAAAAATTAAACGTTTTAATTCATAATTATCAGCTGGATATGTGAATCGTAATAATCTAGCTAGCCAGCTAGTTAAACAGGCAGAAATGACCTAAAACTAATGTTACGCAAGGTAGATGTACATTTTTCGTGGGTAGCTACCAATTCTTTGCGGCTAGCCAACTATCCAGTTAGCCCTATTGACTTACTATGGACTTGGGACTTACCCATTCACTGAACCGTCTTCCAGCCAGGACAATGGCAATAGAGACAAAACAAGATATACACAAAGCAACTGTTTTACTTCATAACTATCAGCTAGTTATATGTGAATCGTAATAATGTAGCTAACCAGATAGTTTAACAGGCAAAAATGACCTAAAACGAATATTATGCAAGATAGGTGTCAATTCTTCATGGCTATCTGTTAGCTAGCCAGTTAGCCCTATTGACTTATTATGGGCTTGCGATCTACGGTACGTAGGCAGGTAAACATGCCAAAATTAACACAGCATGTATTTATTAACGTATCAAGATAAAATATTGTAGTCAGACAAAATATGAGATGTGAATAAACGTGCATTTTCTCTCGCTTCAGGTCAAATAATGGCCGCCATTGATTTCAAGAAATGTTGCGTCATTTTTTACATGGTTGCATCATATTTCTTTGCATACTTTCTATTGAAGCTTGCATCGATGTACAGTCATGGTCAAAAGTTTTGAGAATGACACAAATATTAATTTTCACAAAGTCTGCTGCCTCAGTTTTTATGATGGCAATTTGTATATACTCCAGAATGTTATGAAGAGTGATCAGATGAATTGCAATTAATTGCAAAGTCCCTCTTTGCCATGAAAATGAACTTAATCCCCAAAAAACACTTCCACTGCATTTCAGCCCTGCCACAAAAGGACCAGCTGACATCATGTCAGTGATTCTCTCATTAACACAGGTGAGAGTGTTGACGAGGACAAGGCTGGAGATCACTCTGTCATGCTGATTGAGTTAGAATAACAGACTTGAAGTTTTAAAAGGAGGGTGGTGGTTGAAATCATTGTTCTTCCTCTGTTAACCATGGTTACCTGCAAGGAAACACGTGCCGTCATCATTACCTTGCACAAAAAGGGCTTCACAGGCAAGGATATTTCTGCTAGTAAGATTGCACCTAAATCAACCATGTATCGGATAATCAAGAACTTCAAGGAGAGAGGTTCAATTGTTGTGAAGAAGGCTTCAGGGCGCCCAAGAAAGTCCAGCAAGCGCCAGGACCGTCTCCTAAAGTTGATTCAGCTGCGGGATCGGGGCACCACCAGTGCAGAGCTTGCTCAGGAATGGCAGCATGCAGGTGTGAGTGCATCTGCACGCACAGTGAGGCGAAGACTTTTGGACGATGGCCTGGTGTCATGAAGGGCAGCGAGGAAGCCACTTCTCTCCAGGAAAAACATCAGGGACAGACTGATATTCTGCAAAAGGTACAGGGATTGGACTGCTGAGGACTGGGGTAAAGTCATTTTCTCTGATGAATCCCCTTTCCAATTGTTTGGGGCATCCGTAAAAAAGCTTGTCCGGAGAAGACAAGGTGAGCGCTACCATCAGTCCTCTGTCAAGCCAACAGTAAAGCATCCTGAGACCATTCATGTGTGGGGTTGCTTCTCAGCCAAGGGAGTGGGCTCACTCACAATTCTGCCTAAGAACACAGCCATGAATAAAGAATGGTACCAACACATCCTCCGAGAGCAACTTCTCCCAACCATCCAAGAACAGTTTGGTGACGAACAATGCCTTTTTCAGCATGATGGAGCACCTTGCCATAAGGCAAAAGTGATAACTAAGTGGCTCGGGGAACAAAACATCGACATTTTGGGTCCATGACTAGGAAACTCCCCAGACCTTAATCCCATTGAGAACTTGTGTTCAAGCCTCAAGAGGCGGGGGGACAAAGAAAAACCCACAAATTCTGACAAACACCAAGCATTGGTTATGCAAGAATGGGCTGCCATCAGTCAGGATGTGGCCCAGAAGTTAATCGACAGCATGCCAGGGCGGATTGCAGAGGTCTTGAAAAAGAAGGGTCAACACTGCAAATATTGACTCTTTGCATAAACTTAATGTAATTCTCAATAAAAGCCTTTGACACTTATGGAATGCTTGTAATTATACTTCAGTATACCATAGTAACATCTGACAAAAATATCTAAAAACACTGAAGCAGCAAACTTTGTGAAGACCAATACTTGTGTCATTCTCAAAACTTTTGACCACGACTGTACAAATGGAGTACACATTCGAGAAGTGCTCTCCGTGCTCAGTTTCGCATACTTTGATTTGGACTCATACTCCGACCCTCCCATTCTCCAATTTGCGTGCTCGGAGCACGGTAGTATGCATTTTAAGAAACACCCAATGTCTCTACTCAGTCAGCCAGCCAGCCAGTCAGTCACTCAGCCAGTCAGTCAGTCAGTCAGTCTGTTAGTCAAACAGTTAGTCAGTTAGCCAACCAGTCAGTCAGTCTGTTAGTCAAACAGTTATCCAGCCATCCAGTCAGTCACCAACCAGTCAGTCAGTCAGTTAGTCAGTCAGCCAAGCAGTCAGTCAGTCGACCAGTCAGTCAGTCAGTCTGTTAGTCAAACAGTTAGTCAGTCAGCCACTCAGTCAGTCAGTCAGTCTGTTAGTCAGCCAGTCAGTCACTCAGCCAGTCAGTCACTCAACCAGTCACTCAGCCAGTCAGTCAGTCAGTCTGTTAGTCAAACAGTTAGTCAGTCAGCCAACCAGTCAGCCAGTCAGTCAGTCAGTCTGATAGTCAAACAGTTAGCCAGTCAGCCAACCAGTCAGTCAGTCAGTCTGTTAGTCAAACAGTTAGTCAGTCAGCCAACCAGTCAGTCAGAACCATTATGGCAGTGTCACCAGCTATGTATACTGTTACACCATTGATCAAACTCTGTTAACCCTTACCACTCCTGGCAATTGGCCTATATGGATAGGGTTAAATCCATTGAAATGTTTCTTACAAAATGAATATGAAATGTCTGTGCATAAGCATGTTAGCAATTGAGAGGGAACAGTTTGGAGATTATGGGAAAATTATTAGACCAAATTTGAGGATTCAACAGTTCACCTGACACAATACATTACACTGTCGATTATTTGTGCATTTTACATTTACTGTACATTTCGCTGCATTTGTTGATAACCAAATCTGAAAATACTCTGAATATATTCAGTAACATAAGAATATTCCTGGAAAATGTGTGGTAGGTGCAACATAAAACAAAAAAATTACAAGGGTTTGAGTGAGAGGACTAACTGGTGTCTCCAAGTGGCCACACACCTCTCCAAAGTGCACACAGTTCATAAGTCATTTTAATGCACTTTTATGACTCAAAGAAGAGTCTTCAACTATAAGGTACTTTTTTGAGCTCTCCTAGCTGTGCCGTTGAGGAACTAGAGCAAGCACACTTGTAATTGTTTTGTTTGGAACACAACCCTGCATCCCCACCATCACACAATTACTGTTGTTGTTTACGCAATCCAAAAACGGACCATTATGAATCGCAATCTGGGTCAGGTGGGCATTGTTTGATTGCCAACATGACTAGCTAAGTTATAGAATATGAACTTACAGCGTTAGGCTTTCACAGGGCAATTCAGAGAAACAGATGGTAGTTTTGGTGCGCATAGAAAGGAGTCATGCGTGAAATTCAGGTGTGTGTTCCGCTGCAAATTTTCTTCACAATAGACTAACATAGGCTCATTCTGTTCAGAACAACCCAGGGTATGACGCCATGTCATGTTGTAACTGTGCATCAAACACGTTGACACTGTATATGACATGAGTTTTATGATATGGAAATGTAAAGTGCACATTTGGACTCACAGGTGTTTGGCTAGCTTGTTTGACATCAAAGCATTTTCTATTATAATCCTCAACGTCTCATCTTTCAAAATACATAGAGTCACCTTAATGTACAGCATTTCCCTCACTCAGACAACAACAAATTAGCAAAAGTTGCTCAATTAGCGGGAGGGATGGGGGACAGCTTCTTGTCGCCTGTGGTGGTCAAGTTCAGAAAAGCTGTCAGTCAAAACCCATACAGCGCTGTGAAGGGCAGAGCCTGAGCTCTGACGCCATTTATAGCATGTTACTGTACAGCCACTGCGTTCCATTTTCAACTTGCTCTTTTTTTTGTATTATTATTTTTTTATTGGTAATTAAAGTAAAGACCCCCCGGCCAAACCCTCCCCTAACCCGGACGATGCTGGGCCAATTGTGCGCCGCCCTATGGGTCTCCCGGTCACAGCCGGTTATGACACAGTCAACTTGCTCTTGAAACGAATTGTTTATTATCTACATTGGCACAGCAGTGTCTAGCCTAGGCACTGTGGATGCCATGGAGAGGCCCAGTGTTGTAATGACATAGTGATGAGTGAATGTCCTGAAACAGGATGTCCTCTAAATGAAGACCTCTGGGAGCAGGAGGACTATGTTAAAGAGGCCAGCTCTATTCCTCCTGGGTAAATAAACACTCTGTCTCTTTCTCTGTGTTCAAAACACCTGCTGCAGTGCCGGCTTAGACCTACGGCTATACACTATGCTTCAATGAAATACCATGCATTTCTGTTATCTGTGACCTTGGAATACATTGAGAGGTGTAGGGCTGTAATTCATCTTTGAACGTGTACGTGCACGTACTGTTAGACACGTCCATTAACCAGAGTCATTGACCAGTGCCCAAAATAGACGTGAGTACTGTATGGGGTCTGTTGGGTTAGACTTAGCCTCCATAGGATCAAGCCCTGGCAGCTTACTGCAGGCTGGTCTGCAGCTGCTGTCTCCTAGCTCCATGCCCCCCTCTCAACGCTCAGCACCCACACCCCTCTCTCTACACCAGGCCTGAACAGGGAGCTTTACTCCAGCTTGACTCAGTTTTGGTGTGGATATATGGGTTGGTGCCCCTACAGACTGATCCCAGGTCAATTTAAGGTTAGGATTTGGTGAGGATAAGCTGATCCTAGATCTTTGACTGAGGGTAACTTCTACCTGGAACTATGAGGTCTGATACCTTCTCTCTGTATCACCCCTCAATCGTCCACCCCCTCATCCAATTTAGCCCAGCACAGGGCCCTACATTCCCCTACATTAGGGTTAGGGGTTAAGGTTAGGGTTAAGGTTAAGGTTAGGTTTAAGGTTAGGGTTAGGAGTTAGGTTAAAGGGTTAAGGTTGGAGTTAGATTTTACGTTTACTATGTTAAGTGTATGAGACCAGGCTGAACAAGGATACACTTCATTAGGAACGCTTATCAGGGTTGTTAACACTTCATGTGTTGATGCGATGCGTGTTGGTGATGGAAAGATTGCAGTGATGTAAGAACAGGAGTGTTGACTTTCTTGTTTACTCTTTCCTATGATCTGGACATTCCATTAAAGGCTCAGTGCAGTCAACATGAAGTTGTTTTGTATCATACTGTACAAGTTTTTTTTTTTTTTTTAATCAGTGTCCTTCATAATTGCTGGTTGAAAATACAATCTACACAGGACCTTGCATGGGTGGCGTTTCGGCTTGCCTGGTGGCATCACCAGGCGATAAATTAGTTAATAGACTAATAACAAAGAGAGTTCCAAACCTCTCTGCCATTAACAGCTAGTTTTCCGTTTTCCGTTTTCCCCTCCCCACTCAGACCACTCCCAGACAGTCCTAGCAAAATTCTTGCTTGAGAAATAGTTTTTTGCTATAAAGCTATTTTTGTTTCTTTTTGTCCATTTTAATGGAAAACTATTACAGAAATGATTTGATATACACTACCATTCAAAAGTTTGGGGTCACTTAGAAATGTCCTTGTTTTCGAAAGAAAAGCAATTTTTTGTCAATTAAAATAACATCAAATTGATCAGAAATACAGTGTAGACATTTTTTAATGTTTTAAATGGCTATTGTAGCTGGAAACGGCTGATTTTTTATGGAATATCTACATAGGCGTACAGAGGCCCATTATCAGCAACCATCAGTCCTGTGTTCCAATGGCACGTTGTGTTTGCTAATCCAAGTTTATCATTTTAAAAGGCGAATTGATCATTAGAAAACCCTTTTGCAATGATGTTAGCACAGCTGAAAACTGTTGTGCTGATTAAAGAAGCAATAAAACTGGCCTTCTTGAGACTAGTTGAGTATCTGGAGCATCAGCAATTGTGGGTTTGATTACAGGCTCAAAATGGCCAGAAACAAAGAACTTTCTTCTGAAACTCATCAGTCTATTCTTGTTCTGAGAAATGAAGGCTATTCCATGCGAGAAATTGCCAAGAAACTGAAGATCTCGTACAACGCTGTGTACTACTCCCTTCACAGAACAGCGCAAACTGGCTCTAACCAGAATAGAAAGAGGAGTGGGAGGCCCCGGTGCAGAACTGAGCAAGAGGACAAATACATTAGAGTGTCCAGTTTGAGAAACAGACGCCTCCCAGGTCATCAACTGGCAGCGTCATTAAATAGTACCCGCAAAACACCAGTCTCAACGTCAACAGTGAAGAGGCGTCTCGGGGATGCTGACCTTCTAGGCAGAGTTGCAAAGAAAAAGCCATATCTCAGACTGGCCAATAAAAAGAAAAGATTAAGATGGGCAAAAGAACACAGACACTGGAGAGGAAGATTGGAAAAAAGTGTTATGGACAGACGAATCAAAGTTTGAGGTGTTCGGATCACAAAGAATAACATTTGTGAGACGCAGACCAAATGAAAAGATGCTGGAGGAGTGCTTGATGCCATCTGTCAAGCATGGTGGAGGCAATGTGATGGTCTGGGGGTGTTTTGGTGGTGGTAAAGTGGGAGATTTGTACAGGGTAAAAGGGATCTTGAAGAAGGAAGGCTATCACTCCATTTTGCAATGCCATGCCATACCCTGTGGACGGCGCTTGATTGGAGTTAATTTCCTCCTACAACAGGACAATGACCCAAAGCACAGCTCCAGACTATGCAAGAACTATTTAGGGAAGAAGCAGTCAGCTGGTATTCTGTCTATAATGGAGTGGCCAGCACAGTCACCGGATCTCAACCCTATTGAGCTGTTGTGGGAGCAGCTTGACCGTATAGTACGTAAGAAGTGCAATCCAACTTGTGGGAGGTGCTTCAGGAAGCATGGGGTGAAATCTCTTCAGATTACCTCAACAAATTGACAAATAGAAGGCCAAAGGTCTGCAAGGCTGTAATTGCTGCAAATGGAGGATTATTTGATGAAAGCAAAGTTTGAAGGACACAATTATTATTTATATTAAAAATAATTATTTCTAACCTTGTCAATGTCTACATTTCCTATGCATTTTGCTATATTTCCTATTCAAACTCATTAATGTATGTTTTCATGGAAAACAAGGACATTTCTAAGTGACTCCAAACTTTTGAACAGTAGTGTATAAAACGGCTGCATTGGGGACTTTTACTAACCCTCTTTCTCTCTCTCCCTTCCTCTCACCTGTTCTCTCTCTTCAGTCTGATGAGTGATCCTCCCCCTGATCCCGTCCTCCGTCATGGTCGACATGGAGAGCCACTGCCGGCCGCCGTCCCCCCTGGAGGATTCGGTGCTGGGCAGCCCGCTGTGTGGGGACTTCATCGGGGGCATGGAGGAGCTGCAGGACATCTCCCAATCCATCGACGGTGACGCCCACAGCTCCTTTGACGTCCCTGAGTACCAGTCCCAGTCGAGTAACGGCTCTGGCTCTGAAGGATCCACCATTCTAGGTATAGATCCATACCATCAATGGTTCGAAGTAGTGTGATGGTAGTGTGATGGTAGTGTGATGTGCTTGGTTTATTGGCTACTGCTGTCTCACACACGCTATGCCTTCCCTTTAACTTCTCTTCCCTTAAAGAAACACTGAGACGTCCCTTATAGAACCATTGAGACGTCCCTTATAGAAACCTTGAGACGTCCCTTATAGAAATATTGAGATGTCCCTTATAGAAACATTGAGACGTCCCTTATAGAAACCTTGAGACGTCCCTTATAGAAACATTGATACTTCCCTTATAAAAAACATTGAGACTTCCCTTATAGAAACATTGAGACGTCCCTTTTTAGAAACATTGAGAACTTCCCCTTTTAGAACATTGAGACGTCCCTTAATAGAAACATTGAAGATGTCCCTTATAGAAACAGTGAGACTTCCCGTTAATAGAAACCTGAGACAATCCCTTATAGAAACATTGAGATGTCCCTTATAGAAACATTGAGATGTCCCTTATAGAAACCTTGAGACATCCCTTATAGAAACATTGATACTTCCCTTATAAAAAACATTGAGACTTCCCTTTTAGAAACATTGAGACCTCCCTTTTAGAAACATTGAGACGTCCCCATGAGACTTCCTTATACAGAGACCTTTAGAACTTAGACTTCCTTATAGAACATTTAGAACATTGAGACTTCCCTTATAGAAACGGACTTTTAGCGAGCTCCCTTATGAAATTAAAGACATTGAGACTTCCCTTATAGAAACATTGAGACTTCCCTTAGAAACATTGAGACTTCCCTTTTAGAAACATTGAGACTTCCCTTATAGAAACATTGAGACTTCCCTTATAGAGACATTGAGACTTCCCTTATAGAAACGTTGAGACTTGTCACGACCGTCTTGAAAGGGAGCAGACCAATACGCAGCGCGTTGAGTGAACATGATGACTTTAATGAGTACAGCACGTAAATACAAAACAAAAGACGATAGTGAAGTCCAACAGTGACAATGACTGAACTTGGAACAAAAACCCACAACCCCCACAGGAAAACATACAGATAAATATGGCTCCCAATCAGAGATAACGAGCCGACAGCTGACACTCGTTACCTCCGATTGGGAGTCATTGACCAAACCTAGAAACGAACCCCACAGAAATGCAAACATAGAAATACACCCAAATACCCAACAAAACAAAATACACCCTGGCTCAAATACAAAAGTCCCGGAGCCAGAGTGTCACAGTACCCCCCCCTAAAGGTGCGAACTCCGGGCGCACCAGCATACAGTCTAGGGGAGGGTCTGGGTGGGCGTCTGTCCACGGTGGCGGTTCTGGCCCTGGTCGTGGTCCCCACCCCACCTTAGTCACTATCCGCTTCCGTAGCCTCTTCCACATGACCACCCCCCAACTACACCCCACTGGATTAAGGGGCGGCACCGGACTAAAGGGCAGCACCGGACTAAGGGGCAGCACCGGACTAAGGGGCAGTACCGGACTAAGGGGCAGCACCAGGATAAGGGGCAGCACCGGGCTAAGGGACAGCACCGGACTCAATGGCGGATCCTGGCTGGCTGGCTCTGGCGGATCCTGGCTGGACGGCTCTGGCGGATCCTGGCTGGACGGCTCATGGCTGGCTGAAGGATCTGGCTGCTCATGGCTGGCTGACGGATCTGGCTGCTAATGGCTGGCTGACGGATCTGGCTGCTCATGGCTGGCCGACGGATCTGGCTGCTCATGGCTGGCCGACGGATCTGGCTGCTCATGGCTGGCTGAAGGATCTGGCTGCTCATGGCTGGCTGACGGATCTGGCTGCTCATGGCCGGCTGACGGATCTGGCTGCTCATGGCTGGCGGAAGGCTCTGGCTGATCCTGTCTGGCGGAAGGCTCTGGCTGATCCTGTCTGGCGGAAGGCTCTAGCGGCTCCGGTCTGGCGGACGGCTCTGAAGGCTCATGGCAGACGGGCGGCTTTGCAGGCTCAGTCCAGACGGCCAGTTCAAGCGCCGTTGGGCAGACGGGCAGTTCAGGCCCCGTTGGGCAGACGGCAGACTCTGGCCGTCTGAGGCGCATCGTAGGCCTGGAGCGTGGTGCCGGAACTGGAGGTACCGGGCTGAGGACACGCATCTCAGGGCTAGTGCGGGGAGAAGCAACAGGGCAAGCTGGACCCTGGGGACGCACATAAGGCCTAGTGCGGAGAGAAGGAACAGGGCATGCTGGACCCTGGGGACGCACATAAGGCCTAGTGCGGAGAGCAGGAACAGGGCATGCTGGACCCTGGGGACGCACATAAGGCCTAGTGCGTGGTGCCGGAACTGGTGGTCCCGGGCTGAGGACACGCATCTCAGGACTAGTGCGGGGAGCAGGAACAGGCCGGGCTGGGCTGGCGACGCACACCATGAGCCTGGTGCGTGGAGCAGGAACCGGCCGGGCCTGGGCTGGCGACGCACCCCGTAGGCTTCGTGCGTGGAGCAGGAACCGGCCGGGCTGGACTGGCGACGCACCCCGTAGGCTTCGTGCGTGGAGCAGGAACCGGCCGGGCTGGACTGGCGACGCACCCCGTAGGCTTCGTGCGTGGAGCAGGAACCGGCCGGGCTGGGCTGGTGACGCACACCACAGGCGTAGTGCGTAGAGCAGGAACCGGCCGGGCTGGGCTGGCTACGCACATCGTGGACCTGGTGCGTGGAGTAGGAACAGGCCGAGCTGGGCTGGCGACGCACATCGTGGACCTGGTGCGTGGAGTAGGAACAGGCCGGTCCGTACCGGGAACACACACCACTGGCCTTAACTGGGGATCAGGAACGGGCCGGACCGGACTGGTAACACACCTCAGTCTCTCACGCCGTGCCACAACAACTTCCCTCCCTCTACTCGCCAATGGCTCCCGTAATCCGAAAGCCTTCTCTCCACATCTCCCTGTGGCAGCCTCCTGCTGCCCAGCCGCCCAAGCCATGTGCCCCCCCCCAAATTTTTTTGGGGGTTGCCTCTCATCCTTCCGACGATGGCCCTGCCGACGCCGTTGCTCCTCTCTCCGTCGCCTCTCCACTGTCTCGCTCCATGGACGGCGATCCATCCCATCCAGGATTTCCTCCCAAGTCCATGACCCTTTTCCGTCCAATATCTCCTCCCATGTCCAGACCCTTTGCTCCTGGATACGCTGCTTGGTCCTTTGATGGTGGGTTTTTCTGTCACGACCGTCTTGAAAGGGAGCAGACCAATACGCAGCGCGTTGAGTGAACATGATGACTTTAATGAGTACAGCACGTAAATACAAAACAAAAGACGATAGTGAAGTCCAACAGTGACAATGACTGAACTTGGAACAAAAACCCACAACCCCCACAGGAAAACATACAGATAAATATGGCTCCCAATCAGAGATAACGAGCCGACAGCTGACACTCGTTACCTCCGATTGGGAGTCATTGACCAAACCTAGAAACGAACCCCACAGAAATGCAAACATAGAAATACACCCAAATACCCAACAAAACAAAATACACCCTGGCTCAAATACAAAAGTCCCGGAGCCAGAGTGTCACAAGACTTCCCTTATAGAAACATTGATATGTCAAGTGCCTTATACTTAGGGCCAGGGGTTTTTCCCTAGTGGGCCTGTCTAATAGTTTCTCACCCAATGATCTTTCTAAGTTTTCCTAAAAGTAAAAATGAGTAGACTACGGTGTAGTAATCCTGTCGTAAGCCAGCTCTACGTTGTTATTGTTTGACCATGTGTTTCCTGATCATTCAGGAGCCATGCTCACATAGCTCATCTCTAATTCACCCTGACTCAGAGGGTTCAGAGAGGACACTCGGCTTGTTTAACCTCTGACCTTACTTAGGCTAACAGAGATGCTTTTGGCAGAGGGGTTATCTGTTATGTTACACCCCCCCCTCGTCCCCACACTTCCACAGAGGACTTCCTCAATCCGCAAACATTCCTCAACTCACAAGCTGTGTCCCAAATGGCACTCTATTCCCTATATAGTGCACTACCTTTGACCAGGGCCCTAGTCTATATAGGGAATAGGGTGGCATTTTTGACGCAGCCACACTTCCCCCCCAAATAGTATTTTGGTAAACATTAACTTGTTTGTGTCCAATAGAAACCACCTGGATGTGTTAGCAAATATGTTACTACGTAGTAGTTAGTATGCAACTGGGATTGAAACAGTGACTGGTGTTAGAATTTAAACATAGAGGAAAAGAGGGGATGGTATATTGGGAAAATGGAAGAGGGAGGAATAGGTTTTCGGGGGAAGAGGAGTGGAGGAGGGGGCATCATGGAAAATAGCATTGATGATGTCATGGAAAAGTCATGGAGAGTGTGCTGGTTGTTTATGGTTGTTGATGGAGTGGTGAATGAAGAAGGGAGAGAGAGAAGGAGAGAGGGAGAGGAAGAAGCAGACACTGAGTATCTGTGATATGATATTATTCTCCTGCCTACATTGTAGGCTGTAGAGTGTGGTGTGTGTGACACGTGCAGTTGGTCCAAGACATTAATATGTATCCCTGTTTTGGCTTCTCTCACCCAACTCATGTGGGCTGACTTAGCACTGCTCTGTTTGGCACCATTCCTGAAATGCTGTGTGTTTGGTGTGTTTGGTATTCAGGTATTAAAATAGACACAGTGTGTGTATCATGGGCCAATATTTCGACTCATCCCCTGAATTTAGAAGTGTTGCTGATCCACTCTCAGTGGTGTGCATAACGGTCTGTACGTATTTATAGAGATTTAATGGGACACATATTACATGTGCTCTTCCTCTGTGTTGGGCCAAAGGCCTGAGACACCAGGGACTTTCCACTGGTACAGTACTCATCTGTCAGCTAGGGCAAAGAGGCTTCACAGTAGAGACACTAATATGAATATCAATGTCCCAAGGTTAATTGGTTTATTGTTTCACAATAGTTATAAGTGTGTGTCTGTTTTCTGTGCAATTAGTTTATTAATGTGCGTGCGTGTGGGTGTGTGTCTTGTCTGTGCATGCATAAGTGTGTTTACTAATGTGTACTCTGTGTGTGTGTTCTACAGATGCTCTGACCCCAGCCTCCAGCCCGTCGTCGGGAGTGTATGGGGCAATCGCAGGGCAGGAGGAGTTCTCCTCCACCTCTCTCAACCTGGAGTGTCGGGTGTGTGCCGACCGCGCCTCCGGATACCACTACGGCGTTCACGCCTGTGAGGGCTGCAAGGTGAGAAGGACCAGCCATCACACACATCCACGTATGCGGAGCACACAAGCGCATGCACACACAAACATTAATATACGCATACATACACACACACACCTGGTCAGAGTGAGATTCACTGGACCAACCTTCAGACAACAGTCTAACGATAATGACTGAACACACAAACAGGACACAAGAATGTGCCCTCCAACACACACAGTGTGGATGCTCTCCTAGTTAATTGTTTTTGAGCCTGTTGAAGAGCAATCCAAGGCTAATGTGTTTTGTCACAAGTCACTGGAGGACAGAGCAGATCTTAATTTGCCACTGGAAAGCCACTAGATCACACGTGACTGTAAGATAATGTAGTTTTGGTGTTATTATGACCATACCACTAACCACCAAGTAAAAATAACCCAGTCTTTAGCTGTGACCCAAAAGGAACTGGTCAATGTGCTGATTCCATTGCTGCTGTATTATTTCTGTGACTGCATGCCTAGGTTCTAATGAGAATAATCAATTCTCACCCTGCTGTGAAAGCCAGGCAAAGATAATTGGTTTGTCATCCGCTACATTTCCTACATACTCTTTCACCCTGAATGCGTGAGAGATGTCTTGTGGACCCCTGGCCTGCCCATCTGTCCCTGTGCCAGGACTTTGTCTGCGTATGGATGTCACTTGGCGAAGTTGGCGGTGCTCTCAGTCGCTCCTCCCCCTCATGTCAACACACTGTTACACTGAGTTCCAGACAGCAGGGAGATAGCAGAGCAGAGTGGGCCGCAGTGTACCCTGCCCTGCCCTACACTGCCCTACCCTGCCCTACCCTGCCCTACCCTACCCTGCCCTACCCTACCCAGGACTGGACTACCCTGCCCTGGACTGGACTGCCTTGACCTGCCCTACCCTGGACTGCCTTGATCTGCCCTACCCTGCCCTGGACTTGGCTCAGAGCTGCTGGAGGCTAGAATGGACATTGAGTGAACTGGTCATAGCTGTCCCAGAGTAAAACAGCAATGAGTCCTACGTGCACCCCGCTCCTCAGCTGTCTGGTCATCTGAGAGTGACCCCTGCATAGAGAGAGACAGAGACAGAGACATGAGGCAGAGACATGAGGCAGAAACAGAGGCAGAGACAGAGACATGAGGCAGAGACAGAGGCAGAGACATGAGGCACAGACAGAAACAGAGACAGAGACATGAGGCAGAGACAGAGACAGAGACATGAGGCAGAGACAGAGACAGAGGCAGAGACAGAGACATGAGGCACAGACAGAAACAGAGACAGAGACATGAGGCAGAGACAGAGACATGAGGCAGAGACAGAGACAGAGGCAGAGACAGAGACATGAGGCACAGACAGAAACAGAGACAGAGACATGAGGCACAGACAGAGACGGAGACATGAGGCAAAGACAGAGACATGAGGCAGAGACAGAGACACGAGGCAGCAGAGACCGAGACTTAGAGGCAGAGACAGAGACATGAGGACAGGAGGACAGAGACATGAGGCAAAGAAAAGAGACACGAGGCAGAGGACAGGAGACAGAGGCCGAGACAGAGACAGAGGACAGAGGCAGAGAACATGAGGCAGAGAAGGGCAAGAGACAGGAGACACGAGGGCGGCAGAGAAGCAGACGGACATGAGGCAGAGACAGAGACATGAGGCAGAGAAAGAGACAGAGACAGGCCTGGCATCAGGCCGTTGTGGCTGACAGGCATTCTGCCCTGGCCTCATGTTACCCTTGAGGGTTGTGTGTGCGTGCTTGCGTGCGTGTGGCGTGTCCTTGCAAGCGTTAATGCATGCCGTGTGCAGGGACACATTAAGGAGATCTTTCACAAGTATTATGAAATCAACATCTTGGGATGGGGTTGGCTAAATGTTCTTCTTAAGCAACTCACTACCCCCCCCCCCCCCCCCCCCCCAACCCCAGTCCAAGCCCTAAACCACTCAGGACAGTACGTCTAAAGCTACCCATAACCAGACACTGCTGTTTGTCAGGGTTGTGTAACATTAGTGAAATCCCATTTGGGATGTGATAAGCATGTATGTCCAGGCTGATAGTGTCATGCTCCAGCCATTGGGTCCATTTGGGTCCATTTCACTTTTTCTACGGAGAAAGTGGATGTTGGCTGATTGGAGGAAAATGGGGTTTCCTAGTGGCATGTTCTAGGCCAGGACACTGCCTTTGCTTTGCTGATAGTTCACTTAGGTTGAAAGAGTCTTAGATTAATAAAGTTTGCGCAGAGTTTGAAAGATATAAAGATACCAGGTATAAACTGACAATTGTTTTATTTTACCAAGTCACTATACTGTATGTGGTTGAGGTACCATACTGGGTCGAGGCTGAGTTTTTTCATGAGTGCAGTCTATTGGGTCTCAACCTGAACATATCTCTCTCCTCTTTCTCTCCCTTCAGGGTTTCTTTCGGCGGACCATCCGCCTCAAGCTGGAATATGACAAGTGTGAGCGCCGCTGTAAGATCCTGAAGAAGAACCGGAACAAGTGCCAATACTGCCGCTTCCAGAAGTGCCTGTCTGTGGGCATGTCCCACAACGGTGAGGAACACAGACATAGCCAGAGCCCTGAGTACTGCTTACTGCTTATAGCACAACCTGCCAGTAGCAACCAGAGAGGAGCACACACACACACATTTGAACATAGACATATGCACACACACATGTACGCCATTCAAAACCACACTCTTGTAGAAACAGGAAGGAGCGTGCACGCTCACACACGCAAGAACACACACGCGCACGCACACACACGTACTCACACGTACGCCATTCAAAACCACATTATGGTATACGGTTGCTTTTCAAGATGAATGACAGTAGGCAAAAATGTGAGTGACAGCTGTGAATCCTACAGCATTCATTCATAAACGCATGTAAACATTTGCACCATTTCATATTGTTTCCAGAAGAAAACAATGCAGAACTGCAATTGATGCATACGTCTCTCTGTCTCTATCCAGTCTCTATGCGGTCTCTATGCGGTCTCTATGCAGTCTTATGCGGTCTCTATGCGGGCTCTATGCGGTCTCTATGCGGTCTTTATGCGGTCTCTACGCAGTCTCTCTGCGTGGTGGTGTGTAATTGTGAAGGTCAGTAGAACGGTAAGGTGGGGCTGTATTGTGTTGGCTGAACCCTGTCACCCTTTAGGTGTGAACAGAGACAAGCAGTGTGAGTCTCAGTCTCAGCCTACAGGTCACGTCACCAGGGCTGCATCTGCACTGGGTTAAGCTGTTCAGTACATTAGACCCACTGATCAATGAACTGACCTAGTGGAGAATTTAAGGTAATTTAGACTGATAGTGAGCTTTGCAGTGTAGAGCAGGATACATTACTAGTGGAACATTAATAAAAACAGGGTCCACTCTCCAGACAAAATCAGACAATCACACCCTCTACAGACAGACTAACTATTAGGAATATAAACATAATGATCTTTCCTTTATATAGAGTTAATCTATGAACAATAACCTTGATATAGGACAATGAGGTCAAAGCATTTTGCTGCACCTGCTATAACATCTGCTAAACTGTGTACGCGACCAATACACTTTGATTTGAAGTCTTTGATCCTATTGGATGGATGATGTTTACCTGTGTGTTTTGTGTCAACATACAACATGGCATTCTGACCCTAAGGTCCATGTCCTGCCGTTTACAATGGACTGAAATAGAATTAAGGGGTGACTTTGTGTGTGGTGTGGAGTGATGTGAAGAGGGGCTTAGCAAGGTAATGTGGCCCGAATCAACTACTTATTTTATATATAGTACCAGTCAAAAGTTTTAGAACACCTATTCATTCAAGGATTTTTCTTTATTTTTACTATTTTCTACATTATAGTGAAGACATCAAAACTAGGAAATAACACATATGGAATCATGTAGTATCCCAAAAAGTGTTAAACAAATCAAAATATATGTTATATTTGAGATTCTTCAAATAGCCACCCTTTTCCTTGATGACAGCATTGCACACTCTTGGCATTCTCTCAACCAGTTTCACCTGGAATGCTTTTCCAACTGTATTGAAGGAGTTCCCACATATGCTGAGAACTTGTTGGCTGCTTTTCCTTCACTCTGCCGTCCGACTCATCCCAAACCATCTCAATTGGATTGAGGTCGGGGGATTGTGGAGGCCAGTTCATCTGATGCAGCACTCCATCACTCTCCTTCTTGGTAAAATAGCCCTTACACAGCCTGGAGGTGTGTTGGGTCATTGTCCTGTTGAAAAACAAATGATAGTCCCACTAAGACCAAACCAAATGGGATGGCGTATCGCTGCAGAATGCTGTGGTAGCCATGCTGGTTAAGTGTGCCTTGAATTCTAAATAAATCACAGACAGTGTCACCAGCAAAGCACCCCCACACCATAACACCTCCTCCTCCATGCTTTACGGTGGGAAATACACATGCTGAGATCATCCGTTCACCCACACCCTCACAAAGCCACGGCGGTTGGACAAATTTCCACCGGTCTAATGTCCATGTTTCTTGGCCCAAGCAAGTCTCTTCTTATTATTGGTATACTTTAGTAGTGGTTTCTTTGCAGCAATTCGACCATGAAAGCCTGATTCACACAGTCTCCTCTGAACAGTTAATGTTGAGATGTGTCTGTTACTTGAACTCTGTGAAGCATTTATTTGGGCTGCAGTTTCTGAGGCTGGTAACTCTAATGAACTTATCCTCTGCAGCAGAGGTAACTCTGGGTCTTCCAATACTGTGGCGGTCCTCATGAGAGCCAGTTTCATCATAGCGCTTGATGGTTTTTGCGACTGCACTTGAAGGAACTTTCAAAGTTCTTGAAATGTTCCGTATTGACTGACCTTCATATCTTAAAGTAATGATGGACTGTTGTTTCTCATTGCTTATTTGAGCTGTTCTTGCCATAATATGGACTTGGTCTTTTACCAAATAGGGCTATCTTCTGTATACCCCACTACCTTGTCACAACACAACTGATTGGCTCAAACGCATTAAGAAGGAAAGCAATTCCACAAATTAACGTTTAAGAAGGCACACCTTTTAATTGAAATGCATTCCAGGTGACTACCTCATGAAGCTGGTTGAGAGAATGCCAAGAGTGTACAAAGCTGTCATCAAGGCAAAGGGTGGCTATTTGAAGAATCTCAAATATAAAATATATTTTGATTTGTTTATCACTTTTTCATTACTACATGATTCCATATGTGTTATTTAATAGTTTTGATGTCTTCACTATTATTCTACAATGTAAAAATTGTAAAAAATAAAGAAAAACCCTTGAATTAGTAGGTATGTCCAAACTTTTGACTGGTAGTATATATATATATATATATATATATATATATATATATATATATATTGTTGGAGGGAAATGCTTCACAACTCCTGGCACTGGGAAACCAATGGGGTCACATTGTCTCTCCACTGGCCCCCACCCAACCCCAATGATATGTTTGATGGGTCCGAGGGCCAGGACCAAGAAGCACAACTCAGAGGTATACAGACAGGTATGGTACCAGATTCTTAGCGGGACCCAGCCATCCACACATAATGGATGCAAATCAAATATTAAAAAATAAATAACAACAAAACGCAACAGCATCAGTAAGCCAGACAATTTACAAGTCAAAAGGAGGGTATGGCCCTTGTAGAAGGTCTATAAAGGGTCCCCAGGTGGAATTAAATACATACCTTTCCCTTTTAAAGTATAACATATTTTTTTCTAGTTTAAAAAAGTGAATCAAATCGTGCAGCCATCGACTGTGCAATGGACGGTGGACGTTTTTCTACTCAAGAACTATATGTCTCTTGGCCCCGTGTAGCTCAGTTGGTAGAGCATGGCGTTTGCAACGCCAGGGTTGTGGGTTCGATTCCCACGGGGGGCCAGTATGAAAATGTATGCACTCACTAACTGTAAGTCGCTCTGGATAAGAGCGTCTGCTAAATGACGTAAATGTAAATGAAAGTAGAGAAAGCAAGTGCATCCTGCACTGGTCTGGAAACCATTAAGCCAGAAGGTGGTTGACCAAAAAGGGCCACCAGAGGTCACAATTCTACATTGATTCCAAAAATTACACTGGTTACAGACTTGGCAAAAACACCTGATCAAAACATATCAGTAAGATCTGCAGAAGCCTCTCTACGTCGATCACATATAGGGTCAAGGTTTGGATACATTTTATTTAGCCTGGACTTAGTCTAATAGATTCGGTGTAGCAGCTTGAACTGAACAAGTGCATGTCTAGCACAAAATCAACTACTTCTATTGGAACTATTAGAAAGTATTTTCAAATAATTCCCTATAAATAGCCTACTATTTGAAAGTATTTTCAAATACATATTTCAAATGCTATTTTCAAATACATGGGTTAAATTCATGGAAGTGTATTTGAGTATTTTCAAATACTTTCCACGTGTATTTCCAAATACATTCCAATATTCAACTACTTGTCTTTTCAAATAAAAAATATCTAAATACCTACTTCCAAATGTCTTTTAAAGTAATTGAAATACCATAAATAGTATCTGAACACAGGTCTGGGACTGATGCTCAACATTAGTATTTATTTCAAAATGTTTATGTGGGACCAGCACTGGCGTGTTCAAGACGGGTTTTCCCCTCAGGAACAATAAAGTGGGTGTTACCTTATCTTATCTGCACTTCCTATATCTGAACATACAGTCCTCTATCTGTACATACAGTCCTCTATCTGTACATACAGTCCTCTATCTGTACATACAGTCCTCTATCTGTACATACAGTTCTCTATCTGTAAATAGAGTCCTCTATCTGTACATACAGTCCTCTATCTGTACATACAGTCCTCTATCTGTACATACAGTCCTCTATCTGTAAATAGAGTCCTCTATCTGTACATACAGTCCTCTATCTGTACATACAGTCCTCTATCTGTAAATAGAGCCCTCTATCTGTACATACAGTCCTCTATCTGTACATACAGTCCTCTATCTGTACATACAGTCCTCTATCTGTAAATAGAGTCCTCTATCTGTACATACAGTTCTCTATCTGTAAATAGAGTCCTCTATCTGTACATACAGTCCTCTATCTGTACATACAGTCCTCTATCTGTAAATAGAGCCCTCTATCTGTACATACAGTCCTCTATCTGTACATACAGTCCTCTATCTGTAAATAGAGTCCTCTATCTGTACATACAGTCCTATATCTGTACATACAGTCCTCTATCTGTACATACAGTCCTCTATCTGTAAATAGAGTCCTATATCTGTACATACAGTCCTATATCTGTGCATGTGTATTGTGTTTCATATGTTACCTAAATGTTACAGTATACAGGACAATGACATGGGAGAGGGTCATGGAACTTATAGAACCTGATACACTGAGGCTTCAGCCCGCCCCCCCCCCCCCCCCCCCCTTTTCTCTCTCTCTCCCTTTTGCATCAATCATGTTCTGCTTTAGAGAGTCAGAGACTCTCATCTCATCCTCCGCTTAGTGTGATGTTCTTATCCTGAGTCTCCTGAGCCCAACTCAGAGCATCTCTCACTTCTTCTTTCTCTAATGACAGTTGGCTGCTGCCTCAGGATCCCCATCCTCCTGACGTGGGTTCAAATACTATTTGAAATCTTTCAAATACTTTAAGCATTTGCTTTAGTCTGCCAGGAGAGCCAGGTGGGCGGTGTTTGCACTTTTGAGACTTTTTGATTGGTTATATTGTGCCAGGTAAGCTCAATCGAGCCCAATTGAAGTATTTGAAATTATGTCAAATAGTATTTGAACCCAGGTTTGCCATCCTTTTCAGGGATCTGCCAGGTTTAGAGGAACCATTCACTTATACAGTAATCTAATATGGCCCCATTCTGAACACTGTCTTGTTTTACTGTAATTTACCGTTCAGTGAATGTGTGTGGTGTGGTTAATCACAATAGAAGCCAGTGAAATCTGAGCCCAGCTGTATCCCTTTAGAGTACCATAAATATATGTAATAGGTGCACCTGCTGTTGTGCACCCTATGAGAGGTGTGTGTGTGTGTGCGTGTGTGTGTGTGTGTGTGTGTGTGTGTGTGTGTGTGTGTGTGTGTGTGTGTGTGTGTGTGTGTGTGTGTGTGTCAGAGGGAAGGGGTTATTGGTAACGCAACTGTAATCTGATTAGCTAGACACTTAGGATCAGGCCGTCTGAGAGAGTCAGAGTCCCTTCGTACAAAAACAGCACACACACACATACACACACACTAGATACCTGATTTGTCCTATTTCCTTTAGCGTGCTAACACATTGATCCTCAACTACCCCTCATCCTGCCCCCAATTCTCTCAACTGTTCCTGAAACATACAGGACATTAAACTCATGTCTCCAGGGATCCATAACCTGTCTTGATACCCAGAAAACGTTGAACAACAGTGTTCATGATTTGGCAAACAGTACACAATTGTCTTGAGCCTCCATATATTTCTTATGTTGATTTGATAAACAATATACTGTACAATTGGCATGCGTCTCCATATCTCTCTCAGCAAAACAGATACATCTTTGTCCATTGCAGTTTAATTAAATACAAATTCCACGTCCTCGTCACTGCCATACTGCACCTAATGTTTTCTCTTCCTCTCCTCTCTCTGCTCTCTGTTTAGCGATCCGTTTTGGTCGGATGCCCCAGTCAGAGAAGCTGAAGCTGAAGGCAGAGATCCAGACGGGGGACAGGGAGGTGGAGGACCCCCAGCAGGCCGACCAGAAGACCCTGGCCAGGCACATCTACGAGGCCTACCTCAAGAACTTCAACATGAACAAGGCCAAAGCACGCACCATCCTCACCGGAAAGACCAGCACTCCAGTAAGAGCAGTGTGTGGAAGTGGGGGGATGGGGGCTTGCTTGCATGCATGCGAGCATGTAGGATCAAAATGAAACTCACTCTCCAAAGGGAATCATTCAAATATTGGAAATACAAAACTATTTGTTGCAACCCTAATGATTACACAGTGTGTGTTTTCTGCGCAACCAGAAGGGTCCAATATTATATTTTGAATGATTCCCTTTGGAGTTGGCTGCATTTTGATCCGGTTTAAATGTGATGAAATGGGCAATCAAACCCTCCTTATGTGTTAATATAACCTAGCAACCTCTACCCAATAGGAGCCAAAGAATCATGCAACAACAGAAATACATTTCTAGGACACATCTGTCTGAATATACTGTATGGAGAGACACTCTGTATGACCTTGACTCATAAAGGACCATTATTAACAGTGTTTGGAAACCACTCCCTCCCTCCCTTCGTCTTTCTTTAAAAATGATGCCCTTAGATCTGTGGACTCCATTCATTCTTTTATCATATACCAGAGTAGACTATATGGGTGGGGTAAGGGTTATGTTTCTAGTGAATTCCGTCTTCGGTGGGTGTAGGTGTGGCAAGGGTCATAAAGGAGAGGTCAGAAAGGAGTCAGTCAGTAAGCGGTCAGTGGTCACAGGTCAGTTGAAATACACATCCAAACTGTTACTGTAGTTACTCTGTTCAGTGGTGAGTCTAGTTCCTCTGTTTAGTGGTGAGTCTAGTTCCTCTGTTCAGTGGTGAGTCTAGTTCCTCTGTTCAGTGCTGAGTCTAGTTCCTCTGTTCAGTGGTGAGTCTAGTTCCTCTGTTCAGTGGTGAGTCTGTAGTTATTCCGTTTTGTGGTGAGTCTAGTTCCTCTGTTCAGTGGTGAGTCTAGTTCCTCTGTTCAGTGGTGAATCTAGTTTCCTCTGTTCAGTGGTGATTCTATAGTTATTTCTGTTCAATTGGTGAGTCTAGTTTCCTTCTTTCAGTGGTGAGTCTGTAGTCCTCTTTCAGGTGTGAGTCTAGTTCATCTGTTTCAGTAGTGAGTCTGTAGTTTATTCTGTTTTAGTGGTGATCTAGTTTCCTCTGTTCAGTGGGGAGTTCTAAGTACCCTTCTGTTCAGTGGTGAGGTCTCAGTTCCTCTCTGTTCAGTGGTGAGTCTAGTTCCTCTGTTCAGTGGTGAGTCCTGTAGTTCCTCTGTTCAGTGGTGAGTCTAGTTCATCTGTTCAGTGGTGAGTCTGTAGTTATTCTGTTCAGTGGTGAGTCTAGTTCCTCTGTTCAGTGGTGAGTCTAGTTCCTCTGTTCAGTGGTGAGTCTAGTTCCTCTGTTCAGTGGTGAGTCTAGTTCCTCTGTTCAGTGGTGAGTCTGTAGTTATCTGTTCAGTGGTGAGTCTAGTTCCTCTGTTCAGTGGTGAGTCTGTAGTTTCCTCTGTTCAATGGTGAGTCTAGTTCCTCTGTTCAGTGGTGAGTCTAGTTCCTCTGTTCAGTGGTGAGTCTAGTTCCTCTGTTCAGTGGTGAGTCTGTAGTTATTCTGTTCAGTGGTGAGTCTAGTTCCTCTGTTCAGTGGTGAGTCTAGTTCATCTGTTCAGTGGTGAGTCTGTACTTATTCTGTTCAGTGGTGAGTCTAGTTCCTCTGTTCAGTGGTGAGTCTAGTTCCTCTGTTCAGTGGTGAGTCTAGTTCCTAGTTCCTTGTTCAGTGGTGGGTTGTTCTTTTTCTGGGGTCTGTAGTTATTTGTTTGTGGTGAGTTTTCCCCGTTCAGGGGGGGTAGTATTTTTCGGGTTTGTGGTGTTCTAGTTTCCCCTGTTCAAGTGTCTATTTATCGTTCAGGGTGATCGTACTTTTGTTTAGGGGAGTCTATTCCTCTGTTTAGGGTGAGTTTGTTATCTGTTTCTGGTGAGTTTTTTCCTATGTCGTGGGAGCTAGTTCTCTGTCAGTGGTTAGTTAGTTCCCCGTTAGTGGGGAGTTTACTATGTTCAGTGGGTTAGTTCCCCTTTTCAGGTTAGTCTAGTTCCTCTGTTTATGGGAGTCTAGTTTCCCTTTTTAGTGGGGTCTGTGTTCCTCTTAGTGGGTGAGTCTAGGTCTTTTGTTGTGGGGTTCTGTAGTTTTTTTTTTCAGTGGTAAATCTGTTCCTCTGTTCGGGTGAGTCTAGTTCCTTTTCGGGTGATCTGTAGTTCCCCTGTTTAGTGGGAGTCTAGTTTCTTGTTTGTGGAGTTAGTTTCCCCTTTTTCGTGGTGGGTTCCTTTTTTCAGGGGAGTCGTAGTTATTCTGTTCGTGGTGAGTCTTTTCGTTTGTGGTGGTCTGTAGTTCTCTGTTTTATGGTGAGTCTAGTTCCTCTGTTCAAGTGGCAGTTCCCCTGTTCATGGTGAGTTCGTTCCCTTTTTTTTTGGTGGTTGTAGTTTTTCGTTTTGGTGAGTCTAGTTCCTTGTTCAGTGGTGAGTATTTATCTGTTTAGTGGTGGTCGTAGTTTCGTTTGTGGTGAGCTATTCCCTGTTTAGTGGTGAGTTGTTCCATATTCAGTGGGAGTCTATCCCCTGTTCAGTGGGGATCAGTCCTCGTTCATGGTGAGTCTAGTTCCTCTTTCATGGTGAGTTTTGTTATTTTGTTAGTGGTGGCTATTCCTCTGTTTTGGTAGTTTGTAGTTTTCTGTTAGTGGTGAGCTAGTTCCTCGGTCAGTAGTGGTCTATTATTGTTGGGTGAGTCTGTACTTTTTTTCAGTGGGAGTCTATTCCTGTTCAGTGTGAGTCTAGTTCTCGTTATGGGATCTAGTTTCCCATTTCATGGGGGTCTAGGTCTTGTTAGTGGTGAGTTGGTTCCCTTGTATGGGATCTATTCCTAGTTCATGGTGGTCTGTTCCTTGTTCAGTTTAGTCTAGTTCCCCTGTTCAAATGGTTTTGTCTAGTCCTCTGTTCAGTGGTGAGGGGTAGTTCCTTTATTTTAGTGGGGTCTGTTCCCTTTTTAGTGGTGTGTCTTAGTTTTTTTTCAGTGGGAAGTCTAGTTCCTCTGTTCAGTGGGAATCTTATTATTCTGTTAGTGGTGAGTCTGTAGTTTTTTTTCATGGTAGTTAGTTCCCCCTGTTCATGGAAATCTGTAAATCCTTGTTTAGGGGGGGGGGAGTCGTAGATCCTCTTTAGTGGTGAGTTTTATTCCCCCTTTTCAGTGTTTAGTTGTAGTTCCTCTGTTCAGTGGGGGGTCTTAAATTTTTTTTCAGGGGGAGTCTGTGTTCCCTTTTTTCGTGTTGAGTCTGATTCCTGTTTAGTGGGGATTTAGTTCTTTTTTTCTGGTGAGTTGTAGTTCCTCTTTTTAGGGGGGAGCTGTAGTTCCTCTGGTTCAGTGGTGAGCTGTGTTCTTTGTTCGTGGTGAATCGGTATTTTCGGTTTAGTGGTGAATCTGTGTTATTTTGTTTAGTGGTGAGTTAGTTCCCTGTTCAGTGGGGGTTTTAAATTCCTCGTTCATGGTAAATCTGTATTCCTCGTTTGTGGTGATCTGTATTTTTTTTCAGTGGTGTTCTAGTTCCTCTGTTTTTAGGGGGAGCTAGTTCCTCTGTTCAGTGGTGAGTCTGTATTTTCTGTTCAGGGGGTGTTAGTTTCCCCTTTTTAGTAGGGTCTAGTTCCTGTTTAGTAGGGGTTAGTTTCTGTTTATTGTGATTAGTTTCCTTTTTTCAGTGGTGGTTGTAATATTATTTTCAGTGGTGGTCTATTTTTTTTCAGTGGGGATCTAGTTTATCGTTCAAGGGTGAGTCTGTACATTCTGTTCAGTGGGGAGTCTAGTTTCCCGTTCGTGGTGGTCTATTTTCCCCTTTCATGGGAGTCTTCCCCTGTTTTAGTGGTGGTTAGTTCCTCTTTCATGGTGATCAGTTCCTCTGTTTGTGGTGAGTCGGGGGTTTCTGTTTAGTGGTGGTTAGTTTTTCTGTTCAGTGGGGGTCTGTAGTTATTCTGTTTGTGGGGTTATTCTCTGTTAGTAGTGAGTCTGTTTTTTTTCAGTGGTTTTCTGTACTTTTTGTCAGTGGTGGTCTAGTTCCTTGTTAGGGTGAGTTGTTCCCTGTTCGTGGGGGGGTCTAGTTTCCCTTTTTCAGTGGTGAGTTTTCCTTTTCGTGGTTTAGTCTAGTTCCCTTTTTCAGTGGGGTCTGTTTCCCCCGGTCAGTGGTGACTAGTCCTTGTCATGGTGAGTCTGTTTATTCGTTTGGGGGTGAGTCGTTCCCCTTTTTCAGGGTGAGCTGTTTTCCTCTGTTTATGGTGAATTTTGTTCCCCGTTCAGTGGTTATCTATAGTTATTTGTTTATGGTGAGTAGTTTTCCCCTTTTTCGGGTGAGCTGTAGTTCCTTGTTCGTGGTGAGTCAGTTCATTGTTTAGTATGAGTGTAGTTTCTGTTTGTGGGGAGTATTCCTCGTTTAGGGTGATCTAGTACCCCTTTTCAGTGGGGGTCATTTTTCTGTTCAGTGGGGTCAGTTCCTCTGTTCGGGTAGTTGTAGTATTTGTTTATGGTAAGTTGTTTCCCTGTTCAGTGGGGGAGTCAGTTCCCCTGTTCGTGGGGGTCTAGTTCCCCTTTTCAGTGGTGAGTCTAGTTTTGTTCAGTGGTGAGAAATTCCTCGTTCGTGGGGAGTTTTGTTTTTCGTTCAGTGGGGATCATTTCGTCAGTGGGGAGTCTAGTTCTTTTTCAGTGGTGAGTCGTACTTATTTGTTTTAGTGGTTTGGGGTCTAGTTCCCCGTTATGGTGGTCTTTCCCGTTCAGGGTGATCTGTTCCTTGTTCAGTGGGAGTTAGTTTTTCTTTTTAGTGGGGATCTGAAAATTTTTTTGTTTTGTGGTGAGTTTGTTCCCTTTTTCGTGGTGAGTTGGTTTTTTTTTAGGGTGAGTTAGTTTCTGTTCAGTTGGTCTGTTTATCGTTCAGTGGGGTCGTATTATTCGTTTAGGGTGAGTTAGTTCCTCTGTTCAGTGGGAGTCTGTTTATTGTTCAGGGGGTCTAGTTCTATGTTCAGTGGTGGTTAGTTCTCTGTTCTGGTTGTCAGTTCCTTTTTCAGGTGGTTAGTTACTAGTTTAGTGGGGATCTAGTTCCTGTTCGGGTTAGTCAGTTCTTGTTTAGTGGTGAGTTAGTTTTCCCCGTTTTAGGGGAGTTGTAGTTCCTTTTTTCAGTGGTGAGTCTAGGGTTTTTGTTCAGTGGTGTCTGTGTTTTTTTTTTCGTGGTAAGTTAGTTCCTCTGTTTGTGGTGAGTCTAGTTTCCTGTTCAGTGGTGGTCGTATTCCCCTTTTTCGTGGGGAGTCTAGTTTCCCCTTTTTCAGTAGGGGGCTAGTTCCCCTTGTTATGGGGGTTTTTCCTTGGGGTTTGTGGGGAGTCGTGTTATTTTTCAGTGGTGGCTAGTTCCTCTTTCTGGGAGCTGTAGTTCCCCGTTTAGTGGGAGTTTTTCCTCTGTTTGTAGTGATCAGTTCCCCTTTTTTCATGGTGGGGCTGTTCCCTTTTTTTTTAGTGGTGAGTTGTATTATTTGTTCAGTGGTGAGTCTATTCCCCTGTTTATTTGGTGAGTTAGTTCATCTGTTCGTGGTGAGTTTAGTTTTCTGTCAAATGGTGATCTAGTTCCTTTTCAGTGTTGAGTCAGTTCTTATTCAGTGGTGAGTTAGTTCCTCTGTTCAGTGGGGGAGTTTGTTCCTTGTTCAGTGGGGAGTTGTTCCTTGTTCATGGGGAGCTGTAGTTATTTGTTTAGTGGTGGTTGTTCCTCTGTTTAGTGGGAGTCTTAGTTTTTTCGTTTATGGTGTGTTGTAGTTTTTTTTCAGTGGGGAAGTTGTTCTCGTTCGTGGTGAATGAGTTATTTGTTCAGTGGTGGGCTGTAGTTATTTGTTCAGGGTGAGTCTATTCCCTGTTCAGTGGTTCTGTAAACCTCTGTTTGGGGAGTTGTAGATCCTCGTTCATTTGGGGAGTCTGTTTCCCTTTTTTAGGGTTTATTTTTCCCCTGTTAGGGGATTGGATTCTTTTGTTTAGTGGTGAGCTGTATTTCTGTTTTGTGTTAGTCGTAGTTCCCCTGTTCGGGGAGTCTGTTTTTCTGTTCATGGGGGTTGTGTTTTCCCCTTTTTCAGGGGGATTGTAGTTCCCTTTTTCTGGGGGGTCGTAGTTTTTTGTTTATGGTGATCTGTAGTTTTTTTTGTTCAGTGGTTAAACGTATTTTTCTTTTAGTGGTGAGTTAGTTCCCTGTTCAGTGGTGGGGTTAGTTTCCCCCTTTTTCAGTGGAAGTCTGTTTCCCCTTTTTCAGTGGTGATTGTAGTTTTTCGTTATGGGGAGTTTGTTTCCTTTTTTGTGGTAGGGAGTTTTCCCGTTCAGTGGTGAGTTGTACTATCGTTTAGTGGTGAGTTCCTCGTTCATAGTGAGTTGTTCCCTGTTAGTAGTGAGTCGTTTCTTGTTTTGTTGTGAGTCAGTCCTTTTTTCATGGGGGGTTTTTTTGGGGGGGGTTATTTTTTTGTGGGGGGGTTTTTGGGGGGGGGTTTGGGGGGGGGGGGGGGGGGGGGTTTTGTTGGGTGTTGCCCCGGGGGGGGGGGGGGGGGGGGGGGGGGGGGGGGGGTTTTTTTTTTGTTTTTTTTGGGGGGGGGGGGGTGGGTTTTTTGGGGGGGGTTGCCCGGGGCGGGGGGGGGGGTTGGGGAGGCCCGTTGGGGTTGTTTTTGGGGGG